TTTCGGTGCTGCAGATAACGATGAATAAATTGCGGATGTTTACGTATTTCTGGGGACATTCGAGACTCCGAAAATCTTAACGCAGAACGTCGTATTATTTAAGACCTCGAAAATCTACAGAAATTGTATAACTTCGCAGAATATGTATAACACTATTGAAGATCCCGAAAATTAACATGATGTCGAGCGTGCTTCAATTATTATTTGGCAACTTCGCTCAGCTGAGCGTAGGAATCAGCTCGAAAGGATTCAACATCATTTCCTGAGGTTCTTTGTTTTTGAATCTGACTAGCCGATCGATTCTCACGATCGTGGCTACGCTTCCATAATGGCTATACAATATTCATTTTCCAGCAGCTAGATGTATGTACGTACGATTTGCCGAGACCGTCTTCCTATTCAGAATTATCAATGGTCTTATCGACTTGCTCCAACTCATCAGTATTAACTTTCGTACACCAACGTGCTTCTCTGTTTATTCATTTTATTCACGATTCTTCTCTTCAAGATCAGGATGTACCGATACGGAATATACAATGTAGGGAACTAGATAGAATTTGTTTAAAATGCAGTCTACAAATCTGTAGCTTTAACACTAGAACTGCCGACGACCAAAGTATATATGTATATAGTATTTGTAGCAAAGAAATTGAAGTGCAAGGTACAAAAAAACGTTAACAACACAATAAAGAATACAAGCTTCCATTAATATGTTTTATCAAAAATCACTCGAGTATCTAAAAATATATTGTTATGGATATGTAAAATTTCCATAGAAAATTACAAAGTGGCCACTTTGACCATTTCGATAGTTCTAGTGTTAATCTTATGGATTCGAAGAGCAAAAATTGCTTTAGTTATTCTTTAGTGTAAGTCCACTTGTCCTTACAATCGCGAAGTATCGTTGTAATCAAATTTACTCCCTTGAATTCTTAAATAAAGGGGAAATAAATATGCAAAGTACAAAGGCTAGTTATTACAACATTTGGCAGTTTATTTAAGCCCCCTGAATTTTCTGAACATAAAATTCCATAAATATCCGCTGTCTCGCTTCTCCGCTTGAAATTTTCATACCACGTAGCAGCCAGACGCGACTAACCGATCTCGATCGCGATTACGCGTCTCGAACCACGTGTACGTGACGCGATCGACCGACCTATTTTATCTCTCGTCGTTGGGAGGATCGTGCGTGTTTTCGTTTATTGAAATTACGACAGAACGAACGATCGAATGAACCGTGATATCGTTCATTTTTGGGAAACGATGTTTCTCTCGTCTGTTTCGAAGTTAAGTCGCGAGGAGAAGAAGCATCGACCGATTAAAGGTCGTTCACACAGGTGCATCGAGAAGGGACTCGAAGACGCGTGCATCGCGATGCTTCCACGTAGTGATGCTTGCTATCTCGCACCTTCGTGACCCCCTCATTTCTTTATCGGGGACTACTTTTTCGGCCCGGCACGTGGCTGACGCTGCTTATCAAGGCAGACGCTCACAGGTGGAGAAATTCGATCGTCGAACGATACACGTAGGAATTTTGTCGCACGTCGAATTTGCACGTCGCACAGATTGAACGATAATGACTTTAGCTGTGATGTCATGGAATCGCTATCACAACCATATAGACACACTGGTGATACGCGTGATTTTAGTCGATATTATAATTGGGTATTTAAGTCGAGACTTTGCACTTTGCGCAAGAACGTGCAAACGTTGAGAGTGATTTATCACCGACTTGATGAATGAAATTCAAATCAATTTCGATATAGCGAATTTTATACATAATAATGTAGATGTATCAGGTCATGATCATGCGTAAAAATTTTGCTTTTTTTTTTAAAATATATTATCACTTTGAAATACCGTGTACTCTATTTTCAAATAGATACGTGAATACCTCCCAGAAGTCAAACGCAATGAGCGACTGCAATTTTTTCTAAATTTTACGTTCAAACAGACGATCAATCTTCAGTTTGTTAAACTTTTCTAAAAAATGAATTAGTTTCCTTCATTTTTCAATTTTAGGCTTGATCATATCTCTCTACTTCATGTGATTCTATTTTACACGAAGAATTCAAACAGAACCGTCTTTAATAATTAACTCCGTAAAATTTCGAATGAATGAAGACACCATCTTTTCAAGTTTAGGCTCGATTGTTTCTCAGATATCCGTGACGATCCTAGAATGCACAAAAAAATCAATTTTATGTCTTGTCTATAAAAGTATATCGCGTCCGCTTGTCTATAAAAAAAAAGAAAAAACAAAATTCGATCCATTTTAAACAAGAGGAACATTGTGTTGTTGAATTACCCCGACGATCCACGATGTACAGTAATACTAGCGTTAATTTTCGTGTATTTCGGCGCGGAGCAATTTATTTATCGGGGGAGGAAAGTGCCGGAGGGTGGCGTCTTCGGTCGCGGCTCCTGTCCTAAGCAGGATTCAATTTGGCCACTGCCCACGATTCCACCTTCAAAGAGGAATCACCGTCGTCTATATAGGCGGGCAGCCCTCTCCTCGTCGACGTGCACAGTCTCGGTCAGCGGCCTCCGCTATTAATCTTATATCGAACGCTTTATCCGCGTCCGTTTCCACCCCTCTCCCTTTCCCCCTCCTCCACGCTTTCCCAGCAGACTTCCCTTTTCTCCTACATCCTGGCCGACCTCTTCAACCCTTGGACGAGCAGGAATTTTCAATTCTTTCGAGTACCGCGGGAAAGCAGATTGCCGGAGGGCCTCGCCACTCCCCCCCTTCGCGACGACGTTTCGTTCGATCGACGAAATTTCACGTCCACCTGCACCGATCCCCGGGATCAGGATGCGTCCAGTGAAATTGCACGCTACGTGACGCCGCTAATGTCGCGCACCGGAAGCGGCGAGGAGACTGCGCGAGGAATTCGACGTGAAGCAACGGACGGGGTCGTGATTGCTTCAATCGAAAGGGACGATTTCAGAAGGAATTTCAGAGACTTTTCCCCTTTGGATTTTTACGTATCGACGATGATCGTAAGCGTTAAGAGATTCCAGGGATTATTTCAGGGATTATTCCGAAACGAAAGCATTGTTCTCAGCAGCGTTTGTAGATTTAGGGTAGATTTAGGATGATCCTCGAGGAAATTTTCTATAATTCTTTCGTCGTGTTAGATTTTTCGTAGATTTTCGTAGTATCGTAGGGGGTTGTTTCAGGGAACAAAAGGGATTACGAACGTAATAGCCGTATAAGACGATTTTGAAAATTTCTAGGCATTAGGCATTAGGTTTGAGGAATTTAATGGACTTTGGTGATAATTTAGAGATCATTCGAAGTGTAAGAAACCTAAGGAACCTAAGGAAATATTTGTTTTTTAACGTACTTGACATGGTAATGAATATTCCAGTTCAAATATTTTACATATTTTCATTTCTGTATATTGTAAACGACTCGAAACCTAAGATCTTTAATGACTGGATCGTAGATGTTCGTGCAGTTTTTCACTTTCGTGAAAGTAACTGAATGAAAACTGAAACTAAGTAAAAGAAATATACATTTCTTTTTTGTATATTTCACGCAAAACTATATAAATGTTGGCACGAATGTCCGCCGTTTGCTAATTAAGTTTTCTCCATTGATGTACACCGGCGTCGTGTCCATTGTCGATGGAAAGATAGCGAGGATAGGAAGGACGTGAATTCAGTCGGCGATTAATCGTACACGGAAATGGAAGGACGTGGAAACGAGCAGCGGTCGCTTCTGGCAGGACATTGGCCAGGACGAATAAGTAATGTAGAGGTCCATTATGCTGAAACGGTGAAGGGTCTCTTCGAGCAGGGTCAGCCAATCCCCCGGAGGGCCGTTAAAGTGAAATACTTCTGAATGCAAGGTGGCTGACCGCCCTCTCACCCTTCCTCTATCGTCCTCGTTTTCCTCCTCTATCCTCTCGTTTCTTTCCCCCTCGCGGCCTCCTCGTACGTTTCGTACGAGTCCGTAGGTAAATCGTTGTTATCTGGACAGTGATAAACCCGTGAATGGAGTTCGCGCCTGCTGGACGAACGAGCGAGGGGAACGCAGAGGGTGAAAACCACCCTCGAGAACCACGGGATACCACGCGATCGTCAAATGGATGGCTCTGTTTATGCGCGATGGTCTCGCCTCGCTGGGATTTTTACAATCTACCATTGAGATTCACTGGCGGACAAAAGATGATTTCCAACGGGGATATTACGAGTATCGATAATCTGTTGAGGTGTGTTACACGTTTTGTCATATTGATGATGCTATTCTGTACCGAAGTATGTTTTACATTTACACCCGAAGAACGAGATGAAAACACGATGAGCACACTCTATTATATTATATTATTTAATATTTTCTCTATTTTATATACATTTATTTATTTTATTATCTAATATTTTCTTATATTATGTATCGTAACTCTATTATATTATATTGTTTAATATTTTCTGTATTTTACATATATATTTATTTGTATATATATATTATCTAATATTTATTTATTAATTTTTATTTATTATATATATATATATATTATCTAATATTTTCTTATATTATATATCGTAACTCTATTATATTATATTATTTAATATTTTCTGTATTTTACATATATATTTATTTATTATAATATATATTATCTAATATTTATTTATTAATTTATTATTATATATATATATATATATTATCTAATATTTTCTTATATTATGTATCGTATTCCGTAAGGTATATGAATCGTATACCGTAAAGTCGAGAGTATACGTAGATTATTAACATTAGTATCCTTGAGCGTAGTATGTTGAATGTCGTTACCGAGAAACACAAAATTTCTTGGAAATACAAATGAAAAAACAAAAATGTAAATGTTGTGCAGGCAAGATCGAACAAGTCGTAGAATATTTACGCTTCTCAGTCGTACGGGAGTTGTCGAAGTCGTAACATTCGTGGGAAATATCGTCGGTAAAGTGCGTAATATGTATTGTAAAAATGGTTCATGTGAAAATGAAAAAAGTTAAGGTCAGCTGAAGTACTATTGGAATTAAACGAAGAATATTGTTTTACGATACAAAATAGCTAAAACAGTTAATAGAAGTCGCAAAGTGATTATGAATCATTTACCGATGAAAAGAGATTCAATTTAGAGAGACCTGATGGCTTCCACTACTATCATCATGATTTATGAAAAGAGCAACAACATTCGAGTTGTCGGCCTATAGGAGATGCAATGATTCGAGAAGGTAAATTGGAAATAAAATTTATTACAAGGAAACTAACTAGTAAAAAATATATCGAACTGATTGGCGAACAAATTATCACGTATGCGACACGAATTGCCGGAAGTAAGTACATTTTTCAACGTGATAACTTTGGAAGCGTAAAAATTCGTGTTTTAAGATGACCAACCAAGTGTCTTGTACTTGAATATCACAGAGAATTATTGGGAGATTGGAAGACAGATGGTCATACGTCTCACAAGAGTATGAATTTATAAAACATTTGTGTAACAATATGTTTCAGTTGATAATAACTACTATATTAAAATGATATCAATTCTTACGATGTATTAATGTTCCATATTTCTGGAAATTAATCGTGGAAAATATTTGGAAATTTGGAAATATCGGAATTTGGAAACCAGTTGAAAATCAGCCACGACAACGTTGGTAGAACAAAGTATCGTTCGAAGGAGACGAAGGAAAGACATTGGTAACGATCAATGAGACGCAGTACTCGCGAGCGGAAAGCGTAATTGAATTTTCCAGGGCGTGCACGCGAAGGAACGTCGGTCTCGCCGCCCCTCGAGGGGTGGTTCCGTTTGTCTCCGTACGCTGGAGGGGTGGCATGCAAACAGCGCAAGATTAAAGGAATCGTTCCATGTCGTAGCTCGTTCGAATCGTGGCCTCGAGACATGCCACGAGTCAACAACCCCTCTACACTCGATACTCCAATATCTTCACGTGTAAATACATTTTCTACGTGTAAACGTTTCACGTCGATCGAAATTACATTTGAAATTGGCGTTATTCGGTTTTTTTTTTCTTGATCCTGGAATTTCTAATTCCGCTTCGTTTTAACATTTATTCTTAATAGAGAGGGCGTAAGATGTAATTAAATACTCACAATTTTAGTAATTTAACATGTGTCAGTACGGTGCAAATGTTAGAGATCTATTATAATGGCGACATCGGTTAAGTGCACAATTAGTAGTGTATGTATTATTTATATAAGCAGCTCGAACGTATTGTCAACGTTTGTAATAAGAGTCCGCTGAGTGAAATTGTTATTCCTAAGTAAATTCTAAAGTGATTATTAATCATCATTAATTATTATAAAGTCACACTGCTCTACGCGCTTCAACAGCAAATATTCAGAACGGGTTTTAGTTTTCCTTCTTCTTGGAATTTAACTTGTAGGCTCGAAGCTCCACACTCAGTTATATATAGAAGCTTCATATGTAGGGTGTTTCGTAACTTGTGGGACCCACCTCGGGAGCTGATTGTACGCCTAAAAATAATGAAAAAACGTCATGTAAATATATGTCCTATCTGTCTTAGTTTATGAGATATAATGAATTTTCTGTTTTAATTACTTTTACAAAAGATGCTCGAAATGACCACCTCGCATTTGAGGACAAGCCTGCACGCGTCTTGTCATTCATCTGGTTACTCTCTCTATCATTCCTGGTGTTTCTCGAATTTGTCGGAAGCCTTGCTCTATTCTATTTCGTAGTATTTCAGCATTTTCAATCGATGTTGCGTATACAATAGATTTTAAATGTCCCCACAAATGAAAATCTAATGGATTGTGAAATCCGGAGAACGAGCAGGCCATGCAATAGGACCTCCACGACCAATCCATTTATTTGCAAAGTGTTGATTGAAAAATT